GGGATCCGAGGCCATTTTCGCAGGTCCCAGTCCGAAACGACAAGATGATCCCGTGAGTCCAGGTTTTCCCATGGGGTCAATCAAAATCTAGCCGAGTCCGCAGCGGCTCTTTTAAGGCGTTTGCGGGTTCTTGGTGGCTCCCAGCCATCCGATTCCTTAGCTTTTTAGCTCCTTTTAGGTTCAGTGGTGGTTTCCGAATTTAACCCACCAAATCAAAAGTCAAACTTTGAGCAGGGGATCTGAGGGCAAAACTGTGGGCAAAAACGGGTTAAACATTTTTAGCGGGGGATCTGAAAACGGGCAGCCCAGGGTTCCAGGGCTCCAGGACCTTGTTGGGATCCCTGGGCTTTGTCCGCTCGCCTCAAGCGCACCGGACGCCTGGAGTTTTTCCGAGTCTGACCCTTCAAAAATCGTTGGTCATGACCCCGTTCTTTTGGGTAATGACTCAACCCATTTTCTAGGGCTCATGGACCTCTACTTTCCCTGGAGAGAATCCCCGCGCATCGATCGGCACCAGTCCGATTGACCGATTTGAAAGGTTGATGAATCACCTAGCGGCTGGTGCAGTGTTTCCAGCTCTATTTCCCTGGGTTTCCACTTTGTTTTTGCAGCAAAAGGTTTTGATTGCTTTGCCGTTATTTATGTTTTTTTGGTTGGAAATATCGGGCACCCCTGTTTCCTTGTTTTCTTTTTTGGTTTTCGGAGGCAGATTTCGATGAGCCCGAGTGCAACAAATCGTCTACGGACCCATTGTCCTGATCCAAATTGCTCCTTATGAAACTCCGTGCCCGACACCCAAACTCCGCGATGCATGGTCTGGCACATGGGGCGTGATACATTAGGTGCACCACCCATTTCAGTCTATTGTAGTGGGGATTGGGATGTTCACTGGGGGTACGATTTGAATTTTGACCCATGGCCACATACAGGAAAAGTTACCCATGGTCAAAACTAGGGGGCGAAGGGATCACCCCCCCACGAGTCAAGTGCACATGGGGTGGGAGGAACAAACTCGGGGTGGGATCCGACTTTGAGTCCAGGACATTCCACTGGTCCTTGCTTTCCTTTCATTTGCTGAAAGGAATTGTGTTTCTTATTTTCCCTTGGTCGGTTTTAAAAGGAATCGATTTCACTACTGGACATTATTTTCGTTCTAGTGGGCGAAAAATGGAAGTGTCCTTGACTGACGTTTTATCAGGAAACGGATTCAGAATGGGGACCCAGGATTCGGAGATCCTTTTTGTCGAATCTCGGCTGAAGGAACGCGGTTGGGCAGGTTTAGGGCAGGTTGGCCTTTCCGTCCATTCACTACCTGCCCAAAGCCAAGCGAGCTTTTACTCTTCCCTTGGCACCCATATTTCGTCATGGTGCCAAAACATGGTTGTTGTGGGGAAACAGTCTTTACGTATTTTTGCTTGTTGTGGTTTAGTGCTTGAAATCCAACCACTTGACTGCTAAAATTTAAATGTTTGCTCTCCGTCCAACGTCAACCAAGAAAAGGTGATCACCTGAAAGGTTCCACGGCTAAAAATGACCAGTAGTTCCCTTTGATAGTTCCCGGGAGTCATGGTCCCAAGCATGGTTCCAGCTACTATTTGCTTGGTGCTCTCTTTGCCACACACAGATGCGTTGAACATTGAAGCATGCAGCCTGCCTGCCCGCCCCCTGTGAGGATGCACTGCCAGGAGTGGTTCCTTGGAGCAAGCATTATTTCTACGTGATAGGGACCCTTGGTCCAGGAAACTTCCCCACATGATCCCGCTCACCAAGCTGAGATGACCTGGGGTGAGGTCCCTGAAAGGTGTCATCAACCAGGGGTGACTGGATGTCCCCAAATCAAAAGTTGATCAATTGACTGGTGGTGTCCATTGAAACAAGAAAGCCACCTTAGAATCCAAAAAGGGAAATGGCTCGGAAACCCAGTCATTCCCCATTAAAAGCTGGATGGATGGCCTGTTGGGAGGCCCGTAGCCAGCTAGGTTCTATCAGGCTGGAGAAAACTATGGAGGAACACAATCGATTCGCATGATGAGTCTTTTCTTGGGGGGTTCAACCGAATGATAGTTTTTGTGAATTGAGATTTCATGAGAGTTTCTCAACATGGCGGATCACGGTGGATCCCCTGTTGATTCGTATTTCAAGGGACACCAAGATTCTAGGGGTGCCTTCCCCACTCTTTTCAGGGATCCTTCTTTCTGGAAAACCTCCGGAAACCCTGCGGAAACGGCCAGAGCTTGGAAAGAACGATGGTTGAAAGGAAAGGGAATCAACCCCTAGAAAGATGAAACTTTAGGGGACCATTTTGAGAAGCACCCACATTCGGCAGCTGCAACGCTCTAGTAGCTTCCCTGTAAAACCAAACAAAAATGGGTACCCTCAAAAGCAGACACACACACACACACACTCAAAAGCAGACACACCCATGTATGTTTGCAGTTCTTTGGTCCTCAGGAACCTCTTTCTATGAGAAGCCTTGTGTCGCAGAGAACTCATGACTGGCACAGGGAAGTGGATTCGCGAGATTCGCACATGTCAAATGGCCCTTCTTTTCCTCTGACCTGACATATTCCTTGATATGAAACAGAGCTCCTTAAAAGATACGTTTTGCCCATTTGAAACATGGCTTTGTCCACCAAAATAAAGGGACACCTCCATTTACAAGGCAATGTTCAGCTGTATAATGCATCCGGATCCCTGTGACATATTCCCTGCTACGAAAGGATACAGCCTGCGGCCCAGAGCCTCAAGTTTTTCCATTTCCGGTTGGCAATCGCAGGGCAATCTTGATCGCACGGCACGAGATCGCAAGGAAGGAAGAGTAGTGATGCACCTCACACGTGAAGGCACCGAGCCCGCGCGGCGTGAGGGACAAAGATAGCGATGGATGGACCACATTCTGTTTGCTGAATCACTGGTTGGTGTGGATTCTTCAATTTTCCAGAGCCCCCCCCCTTCCCTCGCCCCATTTATCGATGCTTGCCCATTGGTTCATATATGGAAACTCGGGCCTTCACATGCAGATCGCTCGTGGAGACCTAGGCCTGACTTTGGTTTTGCAAGGTGGGCTTGGGTATATGTCATAGGGATTTGGACCCTTAAAATTAAACTTGGATTCCTTTATAGTCCCCCAAAGGGTACAATGCGTGTTATGGACCGGCTGGGCGTGCTTTTCAGAGCGTTCGCTTTCACGAGAGAGCCCAGCAGTTGGATCATTGCGCAGCAAAGGTGCGGAATGCGAGCTTTATTTCGGCGCACGCGAGCGCCTATGATGGGAGAAAAAGAAGTTGCGGCGACCATTGAACTTGCCGGTGCTCAGCAGGGAATGAGGGAATGAATGAGCCTGAGGCCGTAAACACCAACCAAAAGTTGAGTTCCGTAAAAAGGCAACATTTTGGAATCCTTGAGGCAGCTGTGGAACCCACACTGGAGACTCTGGAAGACTTGGCAGAGGGGCCATTTTGGGCCATAGGTGCCCGTTTGAACGCTCAGAAATAGATTGGGCTGCATTAGCTTAGATTGGTTTTTCAGTCCCATATGGACACCCAACATGTCTTTTTCCAAAAGGCCGCCTATGGTTTTCCCATTTACCAAGGACACCCATGGTAGCCCTTTGCATGCTAAAAGACCATGGAACCCACCGAAACTCGCCTTTCGACAGCCCGAAACGTCTCATGCTGGGTTGGGAGGGTGGTTGCCTAACAGGTACATTAGGCGTGTCTTTTTTTTTGAGGGGACCCATTGCTTAATGGTTTTTTCAAGGGACACCAAGAGGAACATCACCATTTTGCGTCCCCTAAAACAAGACACCCAAATTGGAATCGCTGGGCACTTTCCAGCTGCCTTTTGGAGGTGTAGGTAGGGCGAAACGACTGAGAGCCTCCGGTTTTTACTTGATTTTCACCGACTCGTTGGAGCCAACAAGGGTCCTTGTGTATTTGAAGGGGACAGGTACGAAGGGTGAACTCTGGTAACGAATTTTAGGGGAACTGCAACTATTGGTCGGTACCCATGGCTACTAACCACGTACTAGCTCTGCCCCTTTGAGCATCCAAGGGATGGCTAACCTCCGCATCCATTCCGCCAAAGTTCTCTTCTGTTTCCAATGGGTTCCGCTGTTGCCCAATGGATTCTCTTGTTGGCGTCTTGTCCTCAAAAAAGTAGCGGGTTCCCTTTGGTTTTCCTTTAAAACCACAGCAGAAAGGCTACCGACTCAATTAACCACGCCCGCCTCAGCACGCGATCAACAGAGGGTGCCCCTGGAGTCGCCAAATCCACTCGGGGCCCGGCAATTTTCCCGGGTGTCTGCATCAACGATGCGGTCTTGCAGATGTGTCGCAAAAGAAACGAGACTTGACTGTGGCTCAAAAAAGTGGTACCAAAATTGCACCCTGGTAAGTGGAACCAAGGACCAAAACCCGCGGTTTGCCCCAGCCCTTCGATTTTGAGCCACAGCCATATGATGTTGCTTGTTTGTCCTGAGAACCCTTAAAGCACACATCCAAAAGGGTACTTGCCACACAACGCCGCACCCATATCCGGTTGGAATTTCCAAGGTTGGAGCCCACGCGTGTCCTGTTTATTTTGTTTCCGTTTTAATACCAACCAATAGGGATATCTCAGATCTGTGGAATCACCAATGTGAGCTAGGTTTGAATCCAAGTGTCCAATGTGGGTGTGTCTCAAATAGGGGACCCCCAAAGCTGGTTAGTGTCCGTTTGGGTGGCTTTAAACCACCATCCAAGATCATCCAAGCAGAGCTGCGCATTTTGCGAGACACACCAAAATATGAGCTGCCCATCCATGTCCTCCCTCAAGAGTTTGTGCCCAGGCGCTTGTCTTGCATCCAGCCATAATTTCCACTTGCACACATATCTTCTGTGTGTGTGTGGGCACCTTTGTTCATTCATGTTCATTCGGCACAGGGCCATATCGATCAGTTCTTTCGCCTCGCCATGCCTTGCTTTCGCTTGCGCCATACCGCCGCATCTTAGGGGCCCCGGGGGGCAGGGAGCGGCAAGCATCGAAACGGCGAGCGCGAGCGGCATAGTGACAGGGAGCGGCTAGCGCATTTCGGGTGGAAGATGCGATAGGGCCGCGGCTGGCTTCTTTTCGCCATGGATTTGTGGGTGCGGGACCCCGATTCGACCTGGCAGGATGACCCAGCCGATTCGACCTCCAGGATTCCGTTGGCGACTGCCTTACATGCCAGTACCAAGCAAGTCTTGGGGGGAAGGGGGCATTCTGGACGGAACTTGCCATGGTGATATTCCCAGTGGCTCAGAAAATCCCAAGGAGTGGAAGTTCGCCGCCCCCCCGCCCTTTCCGAAGAAAGGTCCCCCGGCCAGGGATGAGGGCCTGGAACATGAGACACCCCGAACCGCTGTGCTTTTCAGAGAGCAGATCAAAGTCAAGAAGCGACCATGTGCTTGAGCGCACGTGTCTTTGTTCTTACCTCAGTAGTCCGTGCCAATCCACTCAGGCTTGGGAATTAGGCTACGAACGTAGCTCAAACGTAAGGTTTCGGCAGCTTGCCAAGCAGGTACTCTGGGTGCTAGTCCATGTTTAATATACCCAAAGGGAGACCAACACGGGATTTGTATTTTTGCTATTCTTCCAGAGCCTCTATTTAGCACCCAGTAGGAGCATCAGTCAGTTCTGGCAGGTCTTTGGTTTGGGGCCATTCTAGGGATCAACGTCGGGCGCTGGATTTGATAAGGAGCTGCCCTGCGGATTGATCAGCTGGCAGGTCAATGGACAGTGCTTCCCCTGAAATTGATCCGAATCCCCTTTTGAACTGGGACGACGCGAAAATTTGCCAGGGACTGATTAGTTCTGGGTCAACATGGGCTGAAAAAAATACCCCGCGCCTTTTCGTTATGTAAGGGGCCGTCCCTTAACTTGTTTCGCAGGCCAAAACCATTGTAAACCGATACAGAGGAAAAAAACCGATACCCCCAGAAGCCATGAAGACACACATCAGGTCCTAGTTGTTGTCGCAAACCAAGATTGCGGAATCATAAATTTGCAGGGCCCAAACCGATACCCAAACCGATACCCAACCGATACCCAACTCATTGGCCGCCATGCCGAATCCAACCAGCTGCCCTGCAGCCTTCTCTGGAGCTGCCAACATGTACTTTGTGTACTACATTTGTACTGAAAAGTTGCGACTGCCGCTGTGGAGCTGCCAAAATGTACTTCGTATACTACACCATACTACACTTGCTTGCACTGAAAAGCTGCGACTTTCGAGCCGGAGCTGCCAAAGTGTCCTGCGCATACTACTGAAAAGTTGCTACTTTCCAGCTGGAGCTGCCAAAATGTACTTTGTGTACTACACTTGTACTGAAAGTTGCGATTTCCAGCTGGGGCTGGGAGCTGGCAGAGTGTACTTCGCCTACTACACTTGTACGGACAAGTCGCGACTTTCGAGCCAGAGCTGCCAAAACGCTGCAAACCGATGCAGAGGAAAAAAAACCGATACTGACCGATACTGAGGCATAAGGATACAAGGGTTGTCCACGGGGTTTTTTTTCAACCCACATGTCTTGAGTTTTAGAGGTCCTTACTTGAATTGTTCGTGTTTGCGCCGTTCCAATATGCTCCACTGTGATTCCTGACGCAGTGTTTGCTTTGTGCATGAGATCCTTGTTGAAAAACGGCACAGTGGCTGGCTTGTGTGTCATTTTATCCTAAGCTCATGGTGAACAGGTGAGTTAGCAAATCCTGAACACTCAACTGTGGTTGTCCGGATTTGTGTTGGGAATGTGTGAACGTCAGGGACCTTCATGTTTGGGATTCACTGGGAGCCACAGAGGAAACTAATCCTGCGGACAGAGTGGATGGTGTCACATTGCGATGCTTGTTACCTGTGCAGAACACCACTATAGCTTTTTTGTGTTTCCGGCCAGCCGGCCACCTAGCCACGGCCACGGCCACGGCCGCGCCACGGCCACGGCACACTTGCGCGCCCGGGGCTGATTGGGAGTGCACAGGTCTTAGCACCAAGAGTTCCATAGTAACATAGTCAGTGGTGACTATTTTTTACAAGTTCCAAGTTCGATCAACCAGAGCATTGTTTTACAGAAATTCAACAGCACTAAGTCACATAGTTAATTGAAGCCGAGTACTAAGTAATAGTCAGCGAAGACTGTTGCCTACACACAAGTGCTATCAACCATAGCAAACACACGTTTAAGTCACTAGTGCTACCATACCATAGTAAACACAAGAGTGAATATGTATGTGATGAGTTACCAGTGCCTTTGAACATAGTAGTGATGGCAATCTATAGTAGTATTACTTAATAGAGCTGCAAGTGCTATGAAGCAAATGAAAGCAATCTCGATAATTGAGAAAATCAAAGACATGTTGGCGTTACTTTCGGCCTGCTAACAGTTTCCATGTTTCACTGTTGGGATGTATATGTACGTCTGTGTGTGATGTCATGCAATGTAATGTCCTGTAATGTAATGTACGGTACTGTAATGCATTGTAATGTAATGTAATGTAATGCAATGTAATTAATGTAATGTAATGTATGTATCTATATAAGTATGTATATTTGTAATGTAATGAAATCTAATGTAATGTATGTATGCATGTAACGCAATGTAACGTAATGCAATGTACTGTAATGCAATGTAATGTGATGTAATGTAATGTAGTGTATGTGATGTGATGTGGTGTCGTGTGGTGTGATGTATTTATGTAATGTAATGTAATGTAATGTAATGTAATGTAATGTAATGGAATATAATGTAATGGAATTTAGTGTAGTGTATGTATGTGTGTATGAATGAACGGAATGTAATGTAATGTACTGCAATGTATTGTATTATATTGCAATGTATTGTATTGTAATGTAATGTATGTATGTATGTATGTATGTAAGTATGTATGTATGTATGTGTGGAGGGAATGTAATGTAATGAAATGTAGTGTAATGCAATAAAATGTAATGTCATGTACGTAATGTATGTATGTATGAAGACAGTTGACTGCAAGTTACAAGTGCTATCAACCATAGCAAGCACACGTTTAAGTCACTAGTGCTACCATACCATAGTAAACAAAAGAGAGAATATGTAGGTGATGAGTTACTAGTGCCTTTGAACATAGTAGTGATGGCAATCTATAGTAGTATTACTTAATAGAGCTGCAAGTGCTATGAAGCAAATGAAAGCAATCTCGATAATTGAGAAAATCAAAGACATGTTGGCGTTACTGTCGGCCTGTTAACAGTTTCCATGTTTTAGTGTTGGGATGTATATGTATGTTTGTGTGTGATGCCATGTAAGGTAATGTACTGTAATGAAATGTACGGTACTGTAATGTATTGTAATGTAATGTAATGTAATGTAATGCAATGTATGTATGTATATTTGTAAAGTAATGGAATGCAGTGTAATGTATGCATGTATGTAACGTCATGTAACGTCATGTAACGTACTGTAACGTACTGTAAGGTAATGTACGGTGCTGTAATGTAATGCAATGTAATGTAATGTAATGTAATGTAATGTAATGTATGTGATGTGATGTGATGTGATGTCGTGTGGTGTGGTGTGATGTGGTGTATGTATGGATTGAAATGCAACGTATGTATGTAATGTAATGTAATGTATGTATGTATGTGTGAATGTAATGTAATGTAATGTACTGTAATGTAATGTAATGTAATGTAATGTACTGTATGTATGTATGTATGTATGTATGTATGTAAGTGTGAATGTAATGTATTGCAATGCAATGCAATGCAATGCATGTATGTATGTGTGTATGTTTGTATGTGTGAATGCAATGTCAAGTAAGTTAATATATGCATGTATGTATGTGTGAATGTAATGTAATGTAATGTAATCTAATGCAAGGTAAGGTAAGGTAATGTAATGTATATATGTATGTATGTATGTATGTATGTAATGTATGTATGTATGTATGTATGTATGTATGTATGTATGTATGTATGTATGTATGTATGTATGTATGTATGTATGTATGTATGTATGTGTGTATGTAATGTATGTATGTATGTATGTATGTATGTATGTAATGTAATGTAATGTATGTATGTATGTATGTATGTATGTATGTATGTATGTATGTATGTATGTATGTATGTATGTATTAATGTAATGTAATGTAATGTAATGTAATGTAATGTAATGTAATGTAATGTAATGGTATGTATGTATGTATGTATGTACTGTATGTATGTATGTATGTATGTACGTGTGTATGTATGTATGTATGTATGTATGTATGTATGTATGTATGTATGTATGTATGTATGTATGTATGTATGTAATGTATGTATGTATGTATGTATGTATGTATGTATGTAATGTATGTATGTATGTATGTATGTATGTATGTATGTATGTATGTATGTATGTATGTATGTATGTATGTATGTATGTATGTATGTGTATGTATGTATGTATGTATGTATGTATGTATGTATGTATGTATGTATGTATGTATGTATGTATGTATGTATGTATGTATGTATGTATGTATGTATGTATGTATGTATGTATGTAATGTATGTATGTATGTATGTATGTATGTATGTATGTATGTATGTATGTATGTATGTATGTATGTATGTATGTATGTATGTATGTATGTATGTATGTATGTATGTATGTATGTATGTAATGTAATGTATGTATGTATGTATGTATGTATGTATGTATGTATGTATGTATGTATGTATGTATGTATGTATGTATGTATGTAATGTATGTATGTATGTATGTATGTATGTATGTATGTATGTATGTATGTATGTATGTATGTATGTATGTATGTATGTATGTATGTATGTATGTATGTATGTATGTATGTATGTATGTATGTATGTATGTATGTATGTATGTATGTATGTAATGTAATGTAATGTATGTATGTATGTATGTATGTATGTATGTATGTATGTATGTATGTATGTATGTATGTATGTATGTATGTATGTTATGTATGTATGTATGTAATGTAATGTAATGTAATGTAATGTAATGTAATGTAATGTAATCTAATGTAATGTAATGTAATGTAATGTAATGTAATGTATGTAATGTATGTATGTATGTATGTATGTATGTATGTATGTATGTATGTA